CGCATGCGAACACGTGCATTTAGCATGCAGCACTGTACGAAAATATAATCCGTACGAAAGGTCGAAATTCGGCATTGTCCGAATTTCCGTCCGAAAATTTCCTGCTATACAGTACATTGTGAGCGTGTAACCGCAAGCGCATGTGTGGATACTGTGTGCAGGTAGACACAAACACCTTCCATCGAACAGACTTCAACACAGACGGGGATTTACCGTCATTTTACGGATTCAGGAAAAGCACTCAGTTGCTAATTATTCAATCCCATTTAGTCCCGGATACTGTACAGGCAGAACATTTCGTCGGTCGATAACTCCGTCCAACTCCAAAGAAAGGGAGTTTGTCCGGTTGTAAATTTCGTCCATGGATCACAAGAGTGTATTGAAAAGCTGGACAAATCGACATCAGTCCAGCATTTCATTTAGTCCAAAAGCTCCTCGGGACGAAAAAGACGAAATTAATTTCCAGACGAATATTCTGCATATGTAGTAGGGTAGGAGAAAAGAGCGGAGATGCATACCGGTAAGCCGGTATTAAAGGGGCCGTCGATGAATATCGAACTTTTTCCACCAAAGGAATTATTTAAGTTTGGACCCAAGCCCTCCCTCCCAACTCAGAACGTAAGAAATGTTGACATACAGTACCTGTGACGATGATATTGAGATTTGAGACCCATTTAGTATTTACCTCTCTACTACTACTTGCTTGTTATGATTATTGTCCTCTTTCTTCATTTTCCCTTCTGGTTTAGTCATTACACGTATTAATTTATATTATTTGGTGCAATACTAGCGCCCCTTTCTCGCACCAAATTATTATTTTTGCTACCTGACCATGCAACCCCCCCCTTTTTTTTCGATGCCAGGTTGCAACGCTAACGCCGAGACCCCTGGTCGGTCGAGTTGCTCCCTGTACATCGGCACGTCGTCCCTACATCCCCTGTGTCTTGTCTTGTGTTTGTCTCCACATGTCTCTTTGTAGGGCTGTGTTCCCAATAAAAAAAAAAAAAAAAAAAAAAAAAAAAAAAAAAAAAAACTACAGTAACATCTGTGACTAACGACCACCCCTGGCTTGGGGCCAGAGAAAGCGGTTGTTATGAACCCTCTAAGATTCTCTAAATTGTCAGGATCGTACGACCACACGGCACGAGGACAACTCTTTTCCCTTACACAGTATATTTCACTTCATCTGATAATTAACAATGAACACTAATAACACCAGCTATTTATAGCATGCAGAAACAGCGTACATGCAAAACATAAGCATATAAAACTGGACATAACAGCGTATACAGCAAAACGCACACAACGCATATAGCGTATGCCATGCAGCAACATCAGCGGTACGGCGGAGTCGAAATACAACATTTCAACGAATACAATGCCATAAGCGCGAAGGCCTTTCCCAATTGAGAACTGGTGGTTTACAACATTCTCCCCACCAAAGGGCTTCTCACCGCCGTACAACAATGCACACAAGTCAAAAACGATCCGGGGCTCTGACTACGCGCCCAGAACGCGTCATCTCCTGCTGCCGTGGTGGTGGTAACGGTGCTGGCGGTTCATACGCTGGCTGCTGAGGGACGATAGCAGGTTGAGCGGTATCGGCAAGCCCAGGAGCCACGTCCTGTGACGATACTTCTAATGGCACTAACCTTTGGATCGGCCTCAACAGGGTACTGGTACTCAACTTAACCTTGGCAACACGACGCTTGCCATCTCGACCAGGGAATAACTCGATGATCCGTCCCAAACGCCAGAACTGTTTGCGCTTGGTATCATCGAGAACAAAGACAACATCACCCACAGCTAAAGGGCGCGACATGGTCTGTTGGTGCTTGTTCAGCTGACTTAGGTACTCCACCTCCCAACGATTCTTGACATGCTTCAGTGTCTGACTGAGGTAACGCAATCTCGCTGACATATGCGTAGCGTCCGGGGTACCTGCTGGCTTCGCTGACGACATCCAAATGTTACCCATCATCATTGCAGGGGTTACTGGTGGCTCATCCAGGCTATCAGACACATAAGTTAACGGACGACTATTCACCACTGCTTCAACCTCATACAAGATGGTCTCAAGCTCCTGAACCTTCAGAAACGCTGTTCCCATTACCTTTTTCAAGGCACTCTTCACTGTACCAACCATTCGCTCATAGAAGCCTCCATGCCATGGTGCAGCTGGAGGATTGAACATCCATGGCACACTCAGTTTGTCAGATGCCGCCTTGAACGTTGTAGCGTTGTCAGACCTGATCCGAGACGGCAAACTACGTCTCGCGACAAACTTCCGAAATGCCATCAAGAATGACTCGGTACTTAAACTATCGACCACCTCCAAGTGAACTGCTCTGGTGGTGGCACACACAAACAATGCTATCCATACCTTCGGAGATGACTCACCACGGCGCACGTACAACGGACCAGCATAGTCGATGCCGGTAGTTGCGAACGGCCTCTCGTGAACAACTCGGTCTTCTGGCAGCGGCGGGCAGACTTCTGAGGCAGCCTTAGCCTTGTAGCGGCGGCATGTAACACATCGCTGAGTAATGTTGCGTAGCGCTCGTCGACCACCGATAATCCAGAATTTCTGACGGATAAACGACAAGACTCCTTCTACACCTTGGTGCATCCTTTCAACATGCATTTTCTCCAACAGCAAATCGGTCAGATGATGTTTGCCTAACAGGACTGGGTGCTTGGCTCCATACGCCAACTCGCTGTGCTGAAGTCGTCCCCCGGCTCTGAGCACTCCATGCTCATCCAGAAACGGTGCAAGCTGATACACCTTCGACCCGGGCTTCACTGGTTGACCTTGCTTGATCAGCTCAAGATCCTCAGCGAAACATGCGGCTTGAACGATGCGGTACAATACGTTGTCTGCTGCAAAATAGAGTTCAGCACGAGGCTCAGTGTGCTTCCACTGCAACATCCGAGTCACCATGCCCTGTGCCCTCGACCATTTACTGAATCGGAGCCACCATTCCTTATCAGATTCTCGACTACAGGTGGTGGCTGACACTCGTACTTCTACACTGGACTCATCTGTAGCTGCGGTTGAGGATGCGGTGGGCCAGTCAT